ATGTAATTTCTCACTGTGACATTCAAACTGCCTATCTAAACTCAGAACTTTCTGAGACAATTTACATGGATATTCCACCTGGTGTGAAGGTTAAACAGTAATAATGTGTGGGAGTTACAAAAGGCATTTTATGGTCTTCATCCATCTGGACAATATTGGAATAAATGTCTAGATTCAGCATTCTAAATATAGCTAAGTATGCTAATACTGTAATTTTGTGGAAGACTAAAAACAATGTTGTGTGAGTCTCAGAACTTCTGAATCTGAGTTCATAGCCTTATCAGAAGTTTGCAGTAATTTAATATATTATGTAACATTGCTGAAGGAACTGAATGTGCAGATAGATGGACCTATAACTGTGATGGAGGACAATACAGCCTGTATTGAGATAACTACATTGGAGAAAGTAAAAGGCAGGTCAAAGCATATTGACATTAGATTTTGCCATGTCAGAGAGGCTGTAAAAGCAAAACAAATAAAATTGCAATATTGTCCATTGTCAGAAAACCAAGCCTCTTGCATTCCAAAAGCATAAAGAAGCAGTAGAGGCACTTGGTGTTAAATAAATGAATGTAATGAAATAAATGTATGCTAACACAATTGTTAATTAAGGAGAAGACTGTTGGGTCTTTAAGGAAAGAAATGTAATTAACAATTGGTTAGTGCAGGTGGAGTTATTTAGTCACTGCCTACTTGACAAGAAGGACACAGCCGTGTGGAATTATTTACCATGAGGTGAACCACTAATTTGATTGGTTGGAGGTAGTATAAATTAAGAGGCTGGTTAATGTGCCATTCACAGTTCTATTTTGAGTGTCATGCTTACATTATATCCGTTTGACTGCTGAATACCTAAGTGGGTGGGTGGATGAATGGATGCTTTAGACTTCTACCCAGCTGATCAATCTAGACCAAAGGTCTACTCTGGACAGCAGAGGTCCAGGATGGTATGAGGTCTGCCTTGGGCAGGGGGTTGGACTAGAAGATTTCTAAGATCCCTTCCTACCCTACGGCAATTCTATGATACTCACAAATATATCTATATTTCTGCATAGAAATTATCCCAGCATATGGTTCAAGAGCTGCAGAAGGTAATTGCTTTGATCCATTGTTTTGTAACTGGTAACCAGCAGATCTTGTGGTGCTCAAGTAAACAGCAGACCTGAAGCCCATTGTGGGTGGGCTTAAAACCTGAAGCCCACTCACAGTGAATGTTCCATAGCCTGCATTCCTTGTGGATAGGAAAAAATAAATATTCAGATAAGTGCATCATTTGCAAAAGAAAAACTAGAAACAGCTGCAAAAGGACAGCATCCGATTTGCAACCGAGGCATGTAAAATTCTGAAGGCATTGAGCTCTCAGAAGCAAAATGCCCCTGAAATGCATAGCAACAGCCAAGGGTAGTGGAAAGAGGAACAGCAGCAGGGCCCTCCCCTGATCCTTGAATTGTCACTTTCCAGCCTATGTAGCACAGCAGTTTCTTGGCTAGGTGTATGGATGATGCAAGTTTTGATGGTCTTGGGGGCAAAGATGTTGATTTTTTGTTTTTGCTACCATTCCCAGAATTCATTAGTCTTAAGGCCCCCTGAAGCCATTCATTAGCCATATAGCCATCTGGGAAATGGCTGTATAATAGAGGTATAAATGCCTGCTAAAAAGCAAACATTTTAGCCTTTCCTCAAGTATTTCACTGTTAACTAGCCTGCAGCTGATTATTTGCACAGATTATCTCAATAAATTTAGGTCACTAAGTAATGGTGCAGAACAACCCTGGTATCACCAGGTTGCCAGTCAACAGAAAAAAAAACCTATGAGCATAAAAGGGCATGCATTTGGCATAGAGCAGGATGCAAGAGAACCTAATTAGATATATCTATTCACTTTAAAAGTAATTATGTATGTATATAGTCCAGCTTTAGAAATGTAAACCAGTGTTTATGCACTTCATGAGTATTTACATCAATTCCTGTTATTACTCCATTGTGTTTGACAATGTTGTCAAACTGGTCCTACATTTTATTTTTACATAAAAGGAATGCTATTTGTCCCAAGGCAGACCTTTCAACATCACAGTAATCCAAGTTTATGCACTAACCACCATTGTTGAAGAGGCTGAAATTGACCAGTTCTATGAAGACTTAAAGAACCTTCTAGAACTGACACCAAAGAAATACATTCTTGTCATTATAGGGGACTGGAATGCTAAAGTAGGGAGTCAAGATAAGAGGAACAACAGGCAAGTTCGGCCTTGGAGTTCAAAATGAAGCAGGGCAAAGGCTAATAGAGTTTTGTCAGGAGAACAAGCTAGTCATCACAAACACTCTTTTCCAACAACACAAGAGGCGACTCTACACATGGATATCACCAGATGGGCAATACCAAAATCAGATTGATTATGTTCTCTGCAGCCAAAGATAAAGAAGCTCTATACAGTCAGCAAAAACAAGACCTGGAGCTGACTGTGGTTCTGATCATCAGCTTCTAATAGCAAAACTCAAACTTAAACTGAAGAAAGTAGGAAAAACCATTGGACTAGTCGGGTATAATCTAAACCAAATCCCTTAAGAATACACATGGAAGTGAAGAACAGATTTAAAGAACTAGATTTGGTGGACGGAGTGCCTGAAGAACTATGGATGGAGGCTCGTAACATTGTACAGGAGGCAGCAACAAAAACTATCCCAAAGAAAAGGAAATGCAAGAAAGCAAAATGGCTGTCCAATGAGGCCTCACAAATAGCAAAGAAGAGAAGGGAAACAAAATGCAAGGGAGATAGGGAAAGCTACAAAAAACTGAATGCAGACTTCCAAAGAAAAGCAAGGAGAGATGAGAGGCCCTTCTTAAATGAATAGTGCAAAGAAATAGAGGAAAATAATAGAAAGGGAAAAACCAGAGAACTGTTGAAGAAAATTGGAGATATTAAAGAAACCTTTTGTGCAAATATGGACATGATAAAGGACAAAAATGGGAGGGACCTCACAGAAGCAGAAGACATCAAGAAGAGGTGTCACGACTACACAAAGGAATTATACAAGAAAGATCTGGATGCCCCAGACAATCCAGATAGTGTGGTTGCTGACCTTGAGCAGTCATTCTGGATAGTGAAGTCAAGTGGGCGTTAGAAAGCATGGCTAACAACAAGGCCAGTGAAGATGATGGCATTCCAGTTGAACTATTTAAAATCTTAAAAGATGATGCTGTTAAGATACTACACTCAATATGCCAGCAAGTTTGGAAAATTCAGCAGTGGCCAGAGCATTGGAAAAGATAAGTCTACAGCCCAATCGCAAAAAGGGCAGTGCCAAAGAATGCTTCAGCTACCGTACAATTGCACTCATTTCACACGCTAGCAAGGTTATGCTCAAAATCCTACAAGGCTGTATATTGTCCCCCTTCTTATTTATATGCAGAATGCATCATGTGAAAGGCTGGACTGGTGGAATCCCAAACCGGAATTAAGATTGCCAGAAGAAACATCAACAACCTCAGATATGCAGATGATACCAGTCTGATGGCAGAAAGTGAGGAGGAATTAAAGAACCTCTTAATGAGGATGAAAGAGGAGAGCACCAAAAATGGTCTGAAGCTCAACATCAAAAAATCTAAGATCATGGCTACTGGCCCCATCACCACCTGGCAAACAGAAGGGGAAGTTATGGAGGCAGTGACAATTTTTACTTTCTTGGACTCCATGATCACTGCAGATTCCACAATCACTGCAGATGGTGACAGCAGCCACACAATTAAGGGACGTCTACTTCTTGAGAGGAAAGCGATGATAAACCTAGGAAGTATTTTAAAAAGCAGAGATGTTACCTTGCCAACAAAAGCCGCATAGTCAAAGCTATGGTTTTTCCTGTATGGAAGTGAGAGCTGAACCAAAAATAAGACTGACTGCCAAAGAATTGATGCTTTTGAATTGTGATTCTGGAGGAGACTCTTGAGAGTCTCCTGGACTGCAAGGAGAACAAACCTATCCATTCTAAAAGAAATCAACCATGAGTTCTCACTGGAAGGACAGATCCTGAAGCTGAGGCTCCAATACTTGGCCATCTCATGAGAAGAGAAGACTCCCTGGAAAATCTCTGATGTTGGGAAAGTGTGAAGGCAAGAGGAGAAGGGGATGACAGAGGATGAGATGGTTGGACGGTGTCATCAAAGCTTCCAACAAGAATTTGACCCACCTCCAGGATGCAGGGGAAGACAGGAGGGCCTGGTGTGCTCTGGTCCATGGGGTTATGAAGAGTCGGACACGACTTAACGACGAAACAAAAACAATCTGTCTCATATTCACAAATTTCAATTTTGATTCAGATTTTTCAAGATCTTTCAAATTATGGGTATATTTTCATTAAATATGAATATTAAATACGTATTCTCTCAAAATACACATTTAAAATGCTTTCTTATATTTTTAGAATATTAAAACCATGCAGTTGAGTTATGAATCACACAGTAGCTGGGTAAGTGAAGGTGACATTGGCGCATATTGAAGTGTACAAAATCCAGTTTCTCAAACATCCCAGCAGCTAAGGTTCCAGAACTTTTTGGAGACTGTCTGGGAACTTCATAGCTCAAAGGCTGCTAAACTGTCCTCTCTAGAACAACCTCAAAGACACTGAATGTACACAGAGACTATCTTTGAAATGATGCACAAGTGGTAACTTGGTGAAAGGGCAACATTAGATATGAATTCCATAATGATGGATATTGAGCTCAGCCCCAATGCAGATGACTCCGCTTCGATAAGATAACCTGAGACTTAATTCTGAACATTACAAAGAGACTGTAATGCTGCATGAATTGGATATTCATGCCTTAAGCAGGTCAGTGTTTGACAGAGGTTTTCTGGTAGTACAACCGAAATCATTTTGAAGAGGAAAGCTTAAACATATTACATTTCTGATTATATATTGGACATGAAACAAAGACCATCCCCCTGGATAAAAAAAAATTATTTCTCTTACACAAGAACATATATCAGGAAAAATGTTTTTACCTCCAAACACATATTTCTCTCCTGTCAATACTTTCAGTGGACTGTTACTCCGAACAGAAGAAGCTTCATCACCATCAATGGTAAGCATTGCAAAATTTTCCTTGGCTAAGAACCGAACCTCATGCCACTGCCCATCATTCAGTCGAGCACCTGTAAGGGGAAGAGGGAGAAAAGAGAAAACATGTTTTAATTTTATTATCTTCCCATACTGTAGTAGACATTGTCTTTGTCCCTTTATCTTGGCCTGGCTAATCAAAGCAGCCAGGCCTATAACAACTGAATGGGCCACTGCAATAATTAATGGGTCTATCCTCAAGGAGACACTTATTAGGCCCATTAGGAAGAAACTAAGTTTGGTGGCAGATGATATTGGCAATTACAGGCCCATCGCCAATGTTTCTTTCCTAATTAAAATGGTAGAGAGGGTGGTGGCTGACCAGCTCCATGCCCTTTTGGATGAAACCAATGTCCTGGATCCATTTCAGTTGGGCTTCAGGCCATTCCATGGTCCAGAAACGGCATTGGTTGTCCTGTTTGATGACCTGTTGAGCGAGGCCAACAGGGGCAAAATGTCTCTGTTGGTCCTTCTCGATATCTCAGCTGCCTTTGATACCATCGACCACGGTATCCTCCTGAGGAGGCTCTCCAAGCTGGGAATTGGTGTTCTGGCGCTTGCCTGGCTCTGATCCTTCTTGGAGGACCGTCCTCAGAGAGTACAGATTGGGGAGAATGTACCAGCCCCATGGAGTCTCAAATGTGGTGTTCCACAGGACTCAATTATCTCCCCAATTTTGTTTAAGATCTATATGAGGCCACTGGGTCAGGTCATCAGGGGGTGTGGGGCTTCCTGTCATCAGTATGCTGATGACACCCAACTTTACATCTGCTTTTTCCCACAACAGTGGATGCCATTTCAACCCTTCAGCACTTCCTGGAGGCTGTATTGCAATGGATGCAGGTGAAAAGACTGAGGCTGAACCAGGACAAGATGCAGGTCCTGAGGGTGGGCAGCCCTGCCATTGGTGGTCTGGGAAACTCCTTCACTTTTGGGGGAGTGACTCTTACCATGAAGACTGAGGTTCACAGTTTGGGGGTTCACCTAGATCTAGCGCTTACCATGGAAACCCAGGTAGCATCAGTGGTCCGCACCGCCTACTTCCACCTTTGGTGGATTGCTCTATCTTGATGGTGTGGCGCTCACCACTCTGGTCCATGTGCTTGTAGTCTTGAGATTATTGTAATGCGCTGTACATGGGGCTACCTTTGAGATTGATGCGGAAACTTCAAATGGTGCAGAACGCGGCTGCCAGACTTCTCACCGGGGTGAGAAAACATCAACATATCTCCCTTACTCTGGCTGCCCTGCATTGGCTGCCCATTCATTTCCACATTGATTTTAAAGTATTAACAATGACATATAAAGCTCTAAATGGTTGAGGACCTCAATATCTGGTGGAACACCTTCTCCCACCTATATCTACCCGAATCACTTGTTCTAGCTAGGAGGGGCAGCTGAGGGGCCCAATGCTGAGGGAGGCTCACAGAGAAAGAACAAGAAACCGGGCCTTCTCAGCAATGGCCCCTCGCCTCTGGAACAATCTAACCCCAGAAATTTGTCTGGCTCTCTCACTGTGTGTTTTTAAGAGCAAACTTAAGACCTGGCTCTTTAGGCAAGCCTTCCCTCATGTCATTACTTAACTTAATTTTGCCATCTTGAATCATATTACATTGTTTTATTTTATACTGTTATTGTTTTTATGAATGTGTTGTTAGCTGCCCAGAGTAGACTTCAGTCTAGATGGGCAGGGTATAAATTAATTAAATAAATAAATAGATCAGTAGTTCCCAACCTTTGCTAATTCAGGTATTTGTGGACTGCAATTCCCAGAAGTCTTCACCAACAGCTGTGCTGGCAGGGGTATCAGGGAGTTGCAGTCCAAGAACTCCTGGATTACCCAAGGTTGGGAACCATTACCTTAGATGATGTTACAGGCTTCAACATTGATTAAGATAAAATTAGGACTGCATGAAATTAGGAAGATAGAGATAAAAATGAGTGCATATATTTATTTATTTTACCAAAGTAACATTTTATCTACATAAGTTACAGTACCATGTGGTGACTCTAGACAAGTGGTTCCCAATCTTTATTGAGTTGTGACCTTTAATAATAGCCAAGTGACCTGCAACCCCAATACCTCATTTGCTTAAATAGATCATCCTCATTGTTCACCAGCTTGGCGGCGCTACTGCTACCCACCCCCTCCTATTGCTCCTGCCAACAACTTTGCTGCCACAACTTCAAAACTAGGGAGGGAACAGGCTGGGGAAGATTAAAGATAGGGAGAAGAGAAGGCAAAGGATTGCAAAGATGGGCCAGGGAGCAGAAGGATATTGCGGTGCCCATGGAGGAGGCAAAAACTTCACATAGAGAGGATCCCCCTCAGAAAATGGCACCAAACTTTTCCTGAATGCTGCAGAAGAGGACATTTTTTGTGACTTCCCGCTGTGGTTTTTATTCTCTGCTTCTGTGTGTTCTTCTTTTTCCTTTTCCTCCCCTTTTAACGCTATCCAGAAGTGATATATCATAATTAAAATCCCCTTCCTGTGGAAGCAGCAGCAATTATATCTTTATGCTGGCTTTTTTTGTAAAAGATAGTCCCTATCACCCTTTCTAAGGGATGTGGTGCTGCTGCGGGTTAAACCGCAGAAGCCTCTGTGCTGCAAGGTCAGAAGACTAGCAGTTGTAAGATCAAATCCACGTGATGGAATGAGCTCCCATTGCTTGTTCCAGCTCCTGCCAACCTAGCAGTTTGAAAGCATGCAAATGCAACTAGATAAATAGGTACCACCTTGGTGGAAGGTAATGGCATTCCGTGTCCAGTTGCACTGGCCACGTGACCACGGAAATTGTCTTTGGACAAACACTGGCTCTATGGCTTGGAAACAAGGATGAGCACCGTCCCCTAGAGTCGGACACGACTGGACTAAATGTCAAGGGGAACATCTACCTTATTACCCTTTCTCTGAAAATAGAGGCTTCTTTTTCCCCCAAAGGACCTGTTTCTCATACATAGACATACACACTAACTTTCATATGCTGCTGTGAAAGATCAAGGAAGCAACTGTTTGAAAACGCATATCTTACAACATATATAAGGTGATACATGACCCCAAAGAAAGCACTTTGCAACTCCCTTGAGGGTTCATGCCCCCCAAGATTTGTTCTAGAGAATCTCAAATAAATCTGAGGAATGTCTTAAAAGTCAGATACAACATTGTGGCTAAAGTCCAGTTGAAGCTGGAGTACGCCCAGGAGTACGCCTATTAGATTTAGTCAAACCCTTCATAAGTTCTATTGGACTTAATCTAGTTGCAGCTTATGAATGGAATTTACCAATTGAATGTTGACTGACATATGTCAGTATCACAGGGAATGGTTGCACTCTACTGGGATATTCATTCATTGGGGATTCTCAAATTACTGTGTGAACTAGCCTATCATCTACTTTCTGCCCTTTGCTGTAAATTTATACATTATCAATTGTATTCAAAATGCATGATAATAGATGGTTCACATAGTATGGCACATATTGGTCAAAATACAAAATATTTTCATATCAAAGTAGAGCAATGATTATCTAATTAATGTTTTGCTTCTGAACTAACCTGCACAAAAGGAAATGAACAAGATCACCACAAGACAGACATTAAGCAACTACTTTCAAAGCATCAACCTTCACTAGGAGTAACTAACAATTAAAAAAATATCATTGTAAGCCCAATAAAATATTAAATATAGTAGCCAAAGTTTACCACTCATGTTTTCTCAGAACTTATTGCACAGACCTGTGATCTTGCTGTCTATACTGAAGGTGTTATCTAAAATAATTGTTATTTGGGGACATTTGAAAATGTATCTGCCCATAATCTAGTATAAAATGTGTAATACAAGCATCTTGCCACTGTCACCAGCTGAACCCGGCTAATCACTTTGTGACTTCCTTTTTCTTTTCACTGAGCTATCCTAAAGTCCCAAATTATTTGAGTGAAAGCAGTTTTAAATTGAAACAAGAGAAATTAGTTCTTAATTTAAAAAGCTTAATGGTTATAAGGCACATTCTCATATTTAAAGTTACAGATAATAAAAGAAGTAAGCCTTCTCACGTTAGACTTTTATCTTTCTCTCATACAAAGTTATTACATTCTTCATCCTCCTTGAAACTGGCATCTTCTGTCTATAGTTATAATTTAAATACTTTTCTCATTTCTTTAGCAATCTTCCTAAATGTAACAACATATTTCTTTGTCTCTCAGCCACTCTCAAATGCTCTTTTTAAAAACACTCTCCTACCAATGCTCATCTGGTCAGCTCTTCTTTTTTTATAGGCCCTCCTGGTGAATCTTGACTGGCTGTTCTTTGGCATCCATCCATCCAATCAGCTTGTTACATTGTTTCCAGGTAAATTTTAATAAAGTTTCTGTCACAGTCACCAAGACAAGATTTTGCATGCTTCTTGAGGATGGCTAGAATGCATCAATAGGACTGGCATAGAATCATAGAGAAATTGAATCACTGAATTGGAAGGAGCCTATAAGGCTGTCAAGTCCAACCCCTTGCTCTATGCAAGTATACAAATCAAAGCATATCAAACAGATGGCTCTTGAATGCCTCCAGTACTGGAGTGCTCACCACCTCAGGAAACTTCAGTGGGTCCAAAATGCAGGAGCCAGATTGCTGACTGGGACTGGTTACAGGGATCACATAACCCCTGTGTTACAGCAGCTTCACTGGCTGCCAATCCATTTCTGGGCACAATTTGAAGTGTTGGTTTTAACCTGCAAAGCCCTAAGGCTTGGGCCCTATCTCAAAACCTTGTTTCTGGTCAGGGTATTAAGATAATCAAGAGATGCCTTTCTCTCAGTTCCACTACCTTCACAAGTCGTTGCTCCCAGTCTTTGGAACTCCCTCCCACAGGAGGCTAGACTGGCCCCATCTTTGCTGTCGTTTTGCAAGTAGGTGAAGACCTTTCTCTTCATGCAAGCTTTCTTTTAGTGACTGACTCTCTGACAGCAAGTTTTAGATGGACTGTTATGCGTTACTGCTTTGACTTTGTATTTTACTATTGCTTGTGTTTTGCATTTCTCAG